CAGGCTGCCCAGGGCAGTGGTTGAGTCACCATCCCTGGAGGTATTTAAAAGATGTGTAGATGAGGCGCTTAGGGACATGGTTTAGTGGGCATGGTGGTGTTGGGTCGACGGTTGGACTCGATGATCTTAGAGGTCTTTTCCAACCTTGATTCTATTCTATTCTATTCTAAGAGATGTGAGGAATTTGACAGAAAAGAGAGAGCAGGATTGACAGAAAAAAGACAGAAGCAAATGTGTAGAGATTTTATAAAATCTGTAATGGTACATTGATTTTAAGGCCAGAAAGGACCACGCAACTCTTCTGCACTGACCTCTGATTACACTGACAAACTTTTACACCAAGCCTATGACATATACCTATTGCTTAATTTATTATTAAAGACGCCTGGGTGCTACAGCAGTAGGAGCTGACTAAAATCATGTAAAGAACAGACTAGAAAATGTTGAGATTGAGCTACAACTTACCTTTAATTACATCAAATCTTGGTCTGAAAGGTATAAGAACCAACCATAACTGGCCCTTTTTTTTTAACCAGGTGTCTAGACAGAGTCTTCAACACTTCTCCCTCTAAACCTGTCTTCTAAGACCTGAGGCTTCCAAATTGACATTTTTTAAATAATTTACTTCTGTAAAACCAGTAACTGGTGGGAGAAGGTATGTGATCACTGGTTTTGATCCATTCAAAATTATTTAAAATTTGGATGCTTCACTTTATATTCAAACCAGCCCTCTCTGTGCAAACGTGCTCCAAGCCTTTACGCACTTAGCCAGTCTGGCATTTTAGGTCAGGTGAAACAGATGATGTCCAGATTTGCCTGAAATATTATCTGTCAGACTAAACTGTGCTTTCTCTTCGATCAAATTTTTAGCTATATGATATAGGCGTGTGTATTTTCGTCTGACACTGTGACTGATTGGAATTATACTGTAGCAAATCACAAACCTTCAGCTTGTGTGAGTATTATCTCTTTTCAAGGACCCCTTTTTGCATTCTAATCCACCTTGGAGGTTGACCTCTGTGTTACGTACCCACCTCAGCACTGTATGAGGGGGGTCCCTTTTCTACTGGGAGCTTGTTGCCCAGCATAATATTCTTATATTGGGCTGACTGACTTCTAAGGGCCCTGTCCATCAATTCTCTGTCACTAGCCTGACCATAGCAATAGCCAGCTGTCCTCAGAAAGGCTGGACTGGAGAGGGAAGCCATGGAAATTCCCACTCTTTGCTCAAGAATCACATTCCCAAGAGCATCAAAGACAGTTTGCAGTGGAGGGAGGGACTTAAAATTGCTGAATAATGTGACTACTAAACCACCAAGGAAAGGAAGAGAAACAAGGAATTAAGAACTGCCTGGATCCCAGGCCTTCAAAACAGAAAGGATCCAGCAGATGGATATGCTTGCAACAAACTTGCAATCTGTGCCCACAGATATGGATACTATAAGATATGAGTACACAAGTCATTCTCTCTCTACCTCCTGCTTGTTTAACACTGGGGCCAGTTGTGTCCCAGCCAAGAGTGGCCTCGTTGGTACTAACACAATGAACGTGGGGAGGAGCACCCATGGATATGGGCGTCATGTCTCCTGCTGCTGCTCCCCAGCCACGCGTCCTGCGTGGGAGGTGCAATAGGTGCTGAGCCCTTCCCCGTGCTTGTTGGGGGCTTCCTGTGAGCAGCTTCAGTGTGCAACCTGGGAGGCATCTGGGGGCATCCAAAAGATATCTAGAGAGCAGGGAGTGCAGTGACAGTGCCTCTGGAGAGAAGCACGGTATGGCCAGCAGCTGGCCAGACCCTAACAGTTTTGGAGTGAAATTCCTGGGGGCCAGGGAGGACTAGGGAGAGATTTTGGCAACTCAGCCACAGCACGGGCTGGTGGGGGAGATCTGCTGGAAGGACAGTTATGTGTACAGGCATTTCTGTTCTGTTTTACCTGATTGCTTTATTTGCGTGAAGAAAGATAACTATCATCATTTATAGCCGTATAAAACCTGACTTTATGGGAGTTTAAAAGCCTTCTCTTTTTTTTCATTTTTTCTTTTTTTTTCTGGACGCAGTATGGGTGGTAACTGAGGCCCATCCACCTCAGCGTTTTAGCTTAGTCATGGTGGTTTTACTCCCTGGAAAGCCTGGCAGCTCCCTGGAGCACCCTGCCATGCTCTTTCATGAATCAGAGTGTGCAGATGCAGGAGGTGACTTGTCCGTAACCTTGTTGAGCGTGGCCATGGTTCTCAAGGCATTGCTATCACCTCACTGGATGTTTACTAGTGTCTGATTTTGAGTTGTCCTTCCTGTAAAGTGACTCTTCCAGAGAGTAATGGTGCTCCTTCGTGGTCAGCCTTTGCTAAAATACTGAAATGCAAAAAGCAAATCTCTTCTGCAGCTAGTCAAATGTTATTGGGAACGGTTTTGTTCAGATGAAAGTACTTAGTTAGAAATCCCCAACATGAGGCAGCCTTGCGGTTAGTGTTCCTTGGGGAAGCAATGCACATGATTTTTCCTGAACTAACACTAAGGAGCCTGTCACAAATGGCTCTTTTTTTTAGAAACTCAAAGTGAGGTTGAAAAAAATTTAAATGCATCAGATTTAGCACATAATGGGTTGATGATGTGGATTTTGGGTTTTTTTTTTTTTTTTTGAAGAAAGATGTGGAGACTCAGTTGTGTCAGAGGGAAAGGTAAAAGGTGGTGCAACACTCTCCATTGCAATGTATTGATTGCAACAATAATGAAATGACAAATATGAAATAATGAATAGTAGGAATGTAAGTATTGCCATTTATATTTTAATAAAACCTGGTTTTTTTTCTGTGAGTCTAAAAGCCTACTGGGAATCTTTGCGGAATTCAGTCAGTATGGATTAAGATTGAGACATATCCACAGAAGCACAGAAGGGTGAGGTTGGAAGGCACCTCTAGAAGTCATCTTGTACAACTCCCCTGCTCAAGCAGGGCCACCTAGAGCAGGTTGCCCAGAACCATGTCCAGACGGCTTTTGAATATCTCCAAGGAGGAAGACACCACAATCTCTCTGGGCAACCTGTGCCAGTGCTCAGTTGCCCTCACAGTAGAAAAGTGTTTCCTGATGTTCAGATGGACCCTCCTCTGTTTCAGTTTGTGCCCGTTCCCTCTTGTCCTGTCACTGGGCGCCACTGAAAAGAGCCTGGCTCTGTCATCTTTGCGCCTTCTCTTCAGGTATTTATGTATATTGACAAAAGCCCCCTGAACATTCTCTTCTCCGGGCTAAAAAGCCTTAGCTCTCTCACCCTCTTGTAATACAAGAGATGCTCAAGTCCCTAAATGCTCACCTCAATCCGCCTCTGTGCTTTAGCTGAGTCATGTCCCTGTCACGCCCTGGGCAGCCTGGCAGCCCTCCCGGGGCACCCAGCCCCGCTTACTCACAGGCTGCAGCACGTGGATGCAAGCGGGGACTTACCCACAGGAACGGCAAACATGGCAGCGGTGTTCAAAGTGTGGCTGTCACTTCACGGGGTGCTCACCAGAAACTGGTTTTGAGCTTGTTCTCCTCGAGAATGGCTGCCATAGTCCCTCAAGGCTTGTTCATTTGGGAATGAGTACGTTTTGCTAAGCTGACAAGCAGCAGCCTGTTGCAAATCCCTTCTCCTGCAGCGAGCGTGGGGAGGAGCAGCCATGGACCTTGGGAGCATGTTTCCTTCCGCTGTTCTCTGGCCATGCCACCTGCATAGGAGCTGTAACAGTGCCGAGCCCTTCCCTGTGCTTGTTGGGGA